TAACATTTTGTTTGAATTGATTGAAACAGATAAAATTCTTCACCATCTGAGTGATCCTAGTCCAATCATCTAAAAGTCTTTATAACTGAGATCTTCAAGAGGATTTTTGACTCTAAAATAATATTCCCACTTCCTCTTGCTCTCTCTTCCCCACCACTGCTTTCCACCTCCCATTCTCCCTCTATGTACATAAAGTTCAAGCATAATTACTTCAAATCTCTCTTAAGACAAGTTATAGAATGTGTGCATATGAGTAGTACTTCTATGTGTTGCATGTGAGTGTGTATTATGTTTATGTGAAAGCCTACTACAACCCTAAATTGCTTCCCTCTCTGTGCTTACTGTATTCTAATTAATACCCCATGCCTCAGCCATAACCAAAAACCTAAAGAAATTACTTTCTTTCTCAAAACCTCAAAAAATCTATATTATTTACTATGTCTTAGAATTGTTGAAATGGTCATCATGGTGGTCCATATTCATGGTCAGCTACACAGTGTCTAAAATTACCTTTGAGATAAACTTCTGGGCATGCATTTGAGGGAGGTTCTAGATTGGGTTAATTGAGATAGGAAGACCCAATCTAAGTATGAGACACTATTCAACAGCCCACACTAAGGTGGCTATAGTATATCTTAATGCATAGTGTACTGATTGTTATATATTCATGGCTTGTCTCCTCACAACATTAGATGTTTCATTTAGGTGGTCAAAATGTCTTTCTCTGGACTCTAATTTCCACATGCTTCTAGGACCTCAGTAAACTTAAATACACAAAAAGATGCAATGAATGAAAAATGTTAATTTAGAAGAAAAGACACTTTTGTTTCTGAAATCATTGATTATTCTCATTGTAGATATGCTACAGAGTACGTAAACAGTCTCTATAAACAAAGGAAAGGTCATGGTCACAGATATTTGCCATCCTTTAAGACCCATTCTGTGAGAAAACGAACAGCCTGCTTTGTCTCTATCATGAGGAAATTCTGGTTTTGACACATTGCTTTTAGTAAGCTCCTTACATCCTAAACATGGAGGTCTCCACCACTGAACTGCCAGGCTGATTGTATAAGCTGACCTTATTTAAAAATGAAAGTTAGAATACATATTTTTGATGCCGTTGTTTTTTTTCTAAGGTTTGGACTCATGCACAGTTAAAGGAGATGAGCTGCCTGGGTACCTCAGGTCTAGAGGGACAACGCAGCAAGAAGTCTTTTGAGATTCAGGTTTTCATTTACTGAAGATAATGTGGAGCTTCCACCAGAAGGCGCACAGACAGGCACAGAAAGAAGCTGCCAGCCTGAGCTTCCTAATGAAGTCACAGCCAACTAATGAAGCCTTGACCCAACAAAAGCACTTCAAGCAATGCTTGCCATAATCCATACAATACAACTGAAGAAGTGACACCCTCCCGCTATCCCAGATTCAGAAACTCAAGGGGATGAATAACTGATTCACCCTATCTTCCTTTCTGCTCTCTTGGCCTGGGTCAGCAATTATGCTGGGGGAAATGAGCCTAGTGAGATGATGTGAGGGTAAGAATATTTTCCTACTTGTCATGAGCTAGAATTATCTGGGAAGAGAAAACAGCAGTTAAGAAAATGCCTCCAACAGGCTAGCTAGTAAGCACTTCTCTGAGGTATCTCTTGCTTAATGAAAGGCCCTGCTCACTGTGGTTGGCCCTGGCTGGCTTAAGAAAGCAGGATGAGCAAGCCTTGGAGAGCAAGGGAGCATCCAGTAAGCACTGTTCTTCTATGATCCTCTGCTTCAGTTTTCTGCCTGCAGGTGCCACTTTTGAGTTCCTACCTCAAAGACTGTGACATTGAATGGTAATCCAAACAAGTCCTTCCCTTTCCAAACTGGTTTTTTGTATATGTTTTATGATAGCAAGTATTGGGACAGAAAGAGAACAATGACAGCAGTGTGCTTACCCATAGTTAAAAGAAGATAGAGTGTGAACATCCCAATACAGGTGAAAAAAATGAAAGACCATACCCAGTAACACAGTGGACAGTGGAGAAAGTTCAATTAATAACATTCTATTGAAAACTAAAAGGAAAAACAGAAGCCAATGCTGAGATAAACCTCCAGGTCCTAATAGTGACAAATTCAGAAAGTTTGTGTATTGTATTTTTTTTATTCCTCTGTTATACTCTTGTTTTGTTTTCTCCTAGTTTAGTTTGACCTTGCTTGTTGCAGATATCTCCACCTTCCTCCTCCCATGCTATAGGCCAAGCCAGTTCTTTATTCATTAACCAATAAAAGCAACACATAGACATAAGAACCTCCCACATCACTTGCTTTGTGTGTTTGTGTGTATGTGTGCTTGTGTGTGTGTATATGTATGTGTGAATGAATGAATGAATGAATGAAGAACACATGTAGCTAGCTGTTCGAGGACACCTTTCCATGAATCTATCTCCTTCCAACTCGTTTTGAAGCAGTTTCTTCCATTTCTGTCCCACTGTGTATTCCAAGTTAGCTAGTATCAAGCTTCCAAAAGATTATATTGAATTTTTTAGATAACCTAATTTTTAACTGAATCTTTGGGAATTTCTCATCATATACATCAAGCCTTCCCCAGTTCTTCCATATCTTCCCCCCTCTAAGAAAAATTAGGAAAGGAAAGGAATATAAAGGAAAGCAAAGCAAAGGAAAATAGCATCACCGACCCCTTACTCCTCTATCAACTGCAGCCATCTGTGCACTTACCATTCCTCTGCTCTGACTTCCCACCTCTCCATCACAAAATTCATCATAGTGGCTTTGGAAATTGCAGTGTATCATGGAGTATACCCTTTTGCCCAAATCTCTACTTGCAAATGTTCATTGCAATAAGTCTGGCTTAAGGCCTCTGGCTTCTGCTATACCATCAACACTGGACCCTCACCGAGATATCCTGCTGTTGCTCTGAGTTATGGCAATCCTGTGGCTCTGAATTCATGGGACCAACCCCTTCATGCCCTCCAACAGTTTGTAGATGGAGTAGATATTTGAGTCGGCCAACTCAAAGCCCTGGATCTGGGTCTGGGTGGTAGCGGAGCTGATAAACCCTCCAGTTCTACCATACCCCTGCCACTGGAGCCAGCTCTCTCATTAGCCAGAGTATGGGTGGGGCTACCTCTCCTGGTCCACCTCTCCACTAGTAATATTATACAATGGCTAGTGAGGAGCAAAGCCAGCTCAGTGCAGACCTCAAACATGAACATAGCTTCAGGCTGCAGTACGGAGCATGGACATCCGCATGGCCTTTGTGGTAACACAAACCACAGACATCAACTCAGTCTATGCTACAGAAGGACACCAGATATGGTCCTTGGTGTCAGCATGGGACTGGACATCACCCATGGCCTCAGTTGGCAGCACAGGCTTCTCAGATCAGGCTAATCCTCACCACCATCATGACTCCAGTTCCCCTTCGCTTTATAGCCCACAAACCACTCTGCTTCTCTTCTCTCCCATCTATCCACAACATACTTGCTCATCTTAGTGGTGCTGTGGTTGCCTTCCAATCACTGCCATACTGCATGATAGTGGATCTGCTTTACCAGAAGATTACTTTGTCTCGCTCACATCATCTCATAGGAACACTGGGATACAGATGCATACTACCCAACAAGCCTTTGATGGGTATTTGGAGGGGTGAAATAAGGTCATTTTCCAGTTTGAGTGGCAAGCACTTTTACTCACAGAGTCTTCATAACAGCCGTGATCTCTTCAGTATTAGGAAGAAGCCATGTGGTGATATGTGGATTTTCTCTACAGGTAAGCTTTCTTAAAATAAAATATCCTCTTTGTAATATCCTTTTCTTCCTATTCTTTCTAACCCAGTTTGAGGGACTAGAGATATGGCTCAATATGTAGATTTTGATGAACAAATGACTGAGATCTCCAATGTCTGAAACATATATCAAACAAATATGACATCAAGTAGACTATAAAAAAGAGTCGATGTCACTGTAAACATTAATTAAAGAAATATAGGTGTTGCCACATGAATATTTGAACAAGCATGATTGGATACTACATAGAAGGGTGTTGTATAATGATAGAGCTCTTCAGTGACAAAAGTGAGAGATGGAGAAGACATATTTGTTTTTAGAGATGAAGGAGATGATTGGGAAGAGAAAGATATTCCTGTGGTGATAATTGACAGCATGAGCAATCCTCTTGGTGGCGGGCATGGTCTCTGTCTTGACTGTGCCTCAATCCTGTGTCACTATACTGGTTGTGACAGTGCACTAAAGTGTGGAGAAATGCGTAGTCTACACATAGGGTTGTTGTGGTATACTTTCCTACTGTTGCACGTAAACTTCTCACCAGTTAATATTTCAAAACTAAATATAAAAATGAATATGGTACCATTTAGAGATCTATTAAAAAGCACTTTTTTCCAGAAAGCTTTCATCTTTGAGCTAAAAGTATTTCCACTACACTGTACCCTTGTTTGCTCCTGATATTTCCAATGTCGTTAGACAGATGTTTATCAATCCATGAAGTTTTCATCTAAAAAGTTGATCACAAAAAACTTAGTTGATAGGTGCTAGTAGATAACAATTATTTATGTGAGCATGATTCTTAGCAAGTTTTGGTCCTGATGGGGTTTCAGTGAAATTTTAATAAGCAAGTCAGGTACTCAAGGGCTCATTTCCCAATAGACAACACTTCTCATTAAACATAACCTTGATTTACATTGGAAGTTCTCTGTTCTTTGTCCTTGAGTAACAGACACAGACAGGTAATAACTTTCATTTTCTGCTAATATAGAGATGTTCATTTCTCATTTTTATATTAGAAACTATACAGACATTTTAGCAATAATAAGAAGTTAGTTCATATTGGCTCATTTCTGATCAACATATGTTATTATGTATATTATATTATTCAAGTTAAGGAAATGATGGTAAGTGTTGTATAGTGTGTGTCACTTACCGGGCGTTCCAGAAATTGTGAGTGGCAAAGTCAGATCCTTTTCCCTGACTCATGAGTCTAAACCAGTCATGGCATTTCTGTATAATGTGTTTCATACGTGCGTTATAATGCTCACTTCAACCTTCTGTGTAAAGGATTAAGTTTTAATAATAAATTCCACGCCTTAGCCCTATACAAGAAGAGTAAGACAATGGAGTTCAGACATATTAAAGTACATTCTTAATAATGCTTGCTGTTGCTCAGTAAATACACATACACTGTTAAAAAGAAGTAGTAATACACACATATATGACATGAATACGGACAGTGGACTCTAGTAGAGGAAGGAGACTAATGTGAAGAAGAATAAAGACATGGAGAGGGGAACTGAGGTGATTATGGTCAAAGTAGATGAGATTCTTGGAAAAAAACTGCCAAGAAACCTATTGTTTTGTGCAGTGAAAATAAGCTAATCATTTTTAAACAAACTGGAAATGTACTGGTGACTGAGTACCAGGTTTAAAAGGACATTGTTTGTGTGTGTGTGTCTATGTGTGTGCATGTCTGCGTAGATGTGTATGTATCTGCATTGTAATTTTAGTGTGTGTATATTTATGTGTGCATGAGTGTGTAAATGATTATCACTGATAATGAATTCTTGAAAAAATAAAATGAGTTTTTCCATTCCAGTTGTTCTTTATTCTTCATAAGAATATAAACTAACAACATGAGATACAAAGGATTTGTTACAAAGAAAAAAAGAGGTACTAATTTTTACTGTCCATGCATCAATTATTATCCTATATTAGTATTTATGCAAAGTAGTATATGAAAATATTTCTCTTGAAATTTATACATAGTATCTGTATTTGTCATTTAGTTTATATAGCCGCTATGAAAACACTAGGTTGCAATGATGTATTTGAGTCTAATAGCTTTCCATTTTTCTCTCAGTGGCAATATTTCTAACATAGATGGGACCAGGAAACTACTCAGTTGTAACAGAGTTCATTCTCGTGGGGCTGACGGAAGATGCTACAATCCGTGCCATCCTGTTTGTTGTGTTTCTAATAATCTATTCTTTCACCTTGATGGGCAACTTGAGCATCATCATGTTAATAAGAGGCAGTCCTCAGCTTCACACCCCCATGTACCTTTTCCTCAGCCATTTGGCTTTTGTAGACATTGGGTACTCCTCATCAGTCACACCCGTTATGCTGAGGGGATTTCTCATTAAGGAAACATTTATACTTGTTGCTGGTTGTGTGGCTCAACTCTGTTTTGTTGTGACATTTGGGTCAGCTGAGTGCTTCCTGCTGGCTGCCATGGCCTATGACCGCTATGTGGCCATCTGTTCCCCTCTGCTCTACTCCACACAGATGTCCTCCACAGTCTGCACCCTCCTAGTGGGCGCTTCCTACGTAGGTGGATGTGTGAATGCTTGGACATTTACTGGCTGTTTATTAAATCTGTCCTTCTGTGGACCAAATAAAGTTAATCACTTTTTCTGTGACTATTCACCCCTTCTGAAGCTTTCTTGTTCTCATGATTTTTCTTCTGAAGTCATTCCAGCAATTTCTTCAGGCTCCATCATTGTGGTCACTGTATTCATCATTGCTCTGTCTTATGTCTACATCCTTGTCTCTATCTTGAAGATGCGCTCCCCTGAGGGCCGCCATAAGGCCTTCTCCACCTGCACCTCCCACCTCACTGCAGTCACTCTGTTCTATGGGACCATCACCTTCATCTATGTGATGCCCAAGTCCAGCTATTCCACAGACCAGAACAAGGTGGTGTCTGTGTTCTACACTGTGGTGATCCCCATGTTGAACCCCCTCATCTACAGCCTCAGAAACAAGGATGTTAAAGATGCCATGAAAAAACTGGTGGCTAATACTCATTGGTAGCTACAAATATCTGGGATTTTAAACAGTGTAATGATCTCTGAACATCCAGATGAATGGACAGTATACTATGGAAATTTGCAATTATATCAATGATATTTTAGACATAAATCTTATCATCTACTATTAAGAAATTCTTCATCATGAAAACAGTGGGTTCACTACTATGGCAACATTTAGCAATTTTCTTCTTTTTAATCCTTTCATTGACCAACATTTTTTGCATCTATAAAAACATGTTCTCACATAACTTCCATTTTCTTTGGAAGCAACTTTTAGGTTTCAAATTGTAGAATCATCTGGAATCGTTTGAATAAGAATAGTATTGCCATCCAAGATCTTTGCAAAAATGAAATGACCTCCTTCTTTACAAAAATCTAACTGCTGAAGGCAGGGGTGTAGGTGATAGGAAAATTGTGTTATCAGGAGTTTTTCTCTTATGCTAGCTATCTTATCCAGTCAACCCAAGAGGTAGTTCAGATTCTTTCTATCTATTGACACTCATGTTTTAGCAATCTGATGAACCCAAGGCCTAAAGAGGCCCCTTCAGTACATCTTCTGGGGATATTTGGGATGATCTCACTTCTGTGGAGATGAAGATGTAATGACTCAGTTTCCTCTGATTGTTCCAGTTTTTTATATACTGTGTACTTTTGCCATATTTTTTTAATTATGTATTACTTTCATGCCTCTGAAACTGAAAATGTATAACATTTAACACATAATTCTGATATGGTCATAATTTTAGAAAAGGATTTTCTGAAAGACTAATTTTCAATTTTCTGATTTAAAATTGTTTGTTTCTAAATTTACCTAGTTTGTGCTTGCACACTAATTGTCTTTTGTGTGAATACATCTTTTAAAATTATTTTTGTCTTTAATAAAAAAGTAAACATAAAATTAATCCCAACACATATTATATTACAGGATTTCTTTTAATTTGACTGATAAGAACAGATACTATATTTGACATTACCTAAACGCTAAACCAGAGCAATGCTATCTAATTGCCAGCAGTGTTTCTTAAATCTTCAGGATCTAGTTTGAATTTCTTATATACCACATATATTTCTGCACCTCTATAGCAGCAGAGTAATTGAGACTTTGGTTGAAATCTCCTAAATTCTATTTCTCTAGAATTTTCTAATAATCTTTTATATCTAATTATATGAATTGTTTTCTTCTCAAAATAACTAGAAGTTGTTAGTCTTTCCTGAAATATCCCCCTGAGTGAAGTGTTTGAGGTGCTTATTGAAAACTAAGCATCACATACATAAATGCTGTATGGATATCATGATGTGGTTGGGGAATACCTCCCTGTATCAAGAGAGGAAAAGATGACATATTGTGACTGGAGGTTTTCAGTCAAGAAAATTTACTGACTAACTTTCATAAGTATACATTACTCATTTTATTTTTACTAGAATTTAAGGGATCAAAAACAAAGAAAGAAAATCAACTTAAATGTTTATTTTGGTGGGGCCATAAATGTGTTCAGAAGAGGAAGAATTCCATATTGAACCTTGTAATTTTTATACTCCCATCACTCAAAACACAACAATATAGGTGATACTTTCATAAAGCCTCCATAAAATCAGGCTAGGGCCAGACTTTAGAACATTTTTTTGATTGGTGATTACTTTGGGAAAGACCAGATCATTGTGGGCAGAGCCACCAGTGAACTGGTGGTCCTGGGTTCTACGAGAAAGAATGAAGATCAATTTAAATATTTAGCTATGGGCCTCCGTCATAAATATGTTCAGAAGAGAATGCATTCTATATGTGTAATTTCAAGACTTCGACTTCAGTTTAATGTCCTTAGTACACAGTTTGAAGCACTTATCCTCCTGTCACCCAAAACAAAATAAGATGACATCTAAGATAACTTTCATGTAGCAATTTGAGGCAAACGGTAGGCAATAAGCAACTTAGGTTTTCCCCCATCATCTATTGTAATTTTTATTATATTCCTAAACAACCTCAACTCTTCCTATATTTCTCAGTTAAAACTGATAAGCCCCTTTATGGTGGTGTGCATTATTATCTTCATATGTTACTGATTAATTGATTTTAGAGATGACAGAGAGATATGCTTGGATGTGATTAAGAATTTACCAGCAGAAAGAAACAGGCAAGGCTCAACCGACCTCCATTGGAGCAGGTAAAGCCCAAACAACCTCCACAGCAGTAGGAAGGCATGACCTCTGGGAGTACCTAGTGATCTCCAGAAGTGCCAAGCAACTTCCTGCAAGACCAGAACCATGGCCCTGACTCCATCATGAGGCGTGACCATCTGAGCTTTGGATCCACTGGAACCTGGAGGAGTGGTCATTGGAGACAAGGCACAAGTATAGAGGGCCCCTACCCCACTGTTTTAGCTTCACTAGCCAGCCAGCCAGAAGACAAGCTTCCTCCAGGTAGGCTACTCCAACACCCCAACCCAATCATTCAGACTCTGTAAGCTACAAGGGCTATTCTGCCCCCAAACCCACCCATCCCTCTGCAACCTCAGAGGAATTCTGAAGCACAGGCTGCAACTGCCCAGAGCAAACCAAGAGAACAGGCCAAAAGAGACCTCAGCAGCTCCCTGAGACATATACAGCTACTTACTTCATAGAGTAGACTAAGAACAGTACCCTAAGACACAGACAGCAAGGATTGGACCAAGAAGCAAAGACACTACCTGCATAATTGGAGGAGGAGCGGGAGAGACGCCAAAGCAAACATTCATTCAACAACCTAAAAAGCAACATGGTAATGCCAGAACCCAGTGGTCATACAATAGGAAAACCTGATCATGCTAACCCAGAAGAAGTAGAAGAAAATGATCTTCAATGTAACTTTATGAAGATGATTAAAAAAAAACCTTAAAGAGGAAATGAAAATTTCCCTTAAAGAAAGATTTGGAATCATCATTTATTCAAGGCATCAATGACCAAAATCCCTGTGATGGCTGACAGAAAAAAATCTCTTTCTATCTAACATTCCAGGGGTGGGGCAAACAGGGATGATGTATTAATTTCTGTAATTACTTCCTGCTGACCTTAAAACATTGTTCTCAGGGCTCTGGAAGGCCAAAATGCGGGTCAAAGATGAGGGAACTTAGAAGCATCTGGTTCATAGACAAGTTGAAAAGACAGCAATCACATTGGCTGGATTGGTCCATAGCAGCTTTCAGACTCATAGTTATTTGGAGCAGGTTGTTGTCAGTAATTGATGCTTGGATGTGCCAAATGGAAACCTGTTACGACAGATACAAACTAGAAAAAGAAGTTGTATAATTCTCTCCAATTTGTGAAATTTGTATGAACCTCTATTTTATAAAATAAAACATAAAAGTTTTAGTTATATTAGCAATATCAATCTGCACTGAAATTCATATTGTAGAAAATCAGGTAACAGGTATCTGTAAAACAGCAGGAGTAGACTCATATTCTTGAATCCTAGCAAAAACTATAGATTTGGGTTAAATGGCATATAAGCCTATCTAAATTCAGAAGACAACCAAAAGAAATTTAAAATCTTGAGCTTGTGACCCAAACAGTAGGTAATTATTTGTCTACCAAGCTTCTCAGAACTATACGACAGAATGGGAAAGAAACCTGAAACATTTTTCATATAACCTATATCTCCATCTTAAACCATCTTCTGAGACCCTCAAAAGGTCATATGGATACCCAGCATGAAAAAATTATTGACCAATCAGGAGCTCTTGTTCGGCAGGTTGATCTGTCATGTATTGTTGACTGTAAACACAATTTCCTTTCCTTCGCAAACAGCAGAATGAAAAACTGGTGAATCAGGAACATAGTCAACAATCCCTGATAACAGGCCAAGCAGTGTTTAAAAGAATATAGTTTCCGTGTAATTATTCCGGGTGTAAAGCTAGCCGGGTGGCGGGATGCAGCCCACTGCTCCTACTACAGAGTGGTGCATGTTGGGCGCCAAAATGAAGGGGTGTAAATGACCAGCAAATAGGATTAACCAGGATAGCTTTAATATCAGCTTTATTAAGGGGAAGAAGGGGAGAGCTTACAAAACCAGCGCTCCAGCGACAAGCAGGAAATAAAAAGGGAAGGCAGGGAGCACACCTGCCAGATTTATAGGTAAACATTAGCCTAATGCAAACATGCCCCTTTAGACAAGGTGATTGGCTGGGCTTCCCCTACATCATGTGGCATACTTTCATAATTTATGAAACAAATGTTAAACTCTTGGTCAACTTGTAATAGAATTACCTCTAAATACTGGATAGACTAAGATGCAGCTGTCTTGGAACTTGGTCCACAAATACAATGGAGGACCATGTGGAAAGAAGTTAAGACCGTTGAACAATGGAGTAGAGCAAGAGACAGACTTTTCAGTAAAGCAGGAAATTTAAAGGACTTCCCACCTTGTATTGGAAAGTTTGTCAGTCACTTTCCTCTGTGTCCTGCAGAATATCTGGCACACTTTTCTGTGAAACAGGAATCTTGAAGGACTGTCCTGCCTTGTCTTAGCCTTGTCTTAGAAAAGTTCAACAATCTGTTTCTTGTTTCCCACATGTCCATTCTGAACAGCATACTGTCATCAGTCAAGGCAACAGCGGTTTCTTGCCCAAATGCCTTCAAACTCCTGAGAACTGAAAAAACTCTAAACTGAATCACCACTGGATCAAAAAAGAAATTAAGAAAGAAACTAAAGACTTCCTTGAATTCAATGAAAATAAATCCACAAATACCCAAACTTATAGGACACTATGAAAGTAGTGCTAAGAAAAAAGTTCATAGTACAAACTGTTTACATAAAAATCTTAGAGAAATTTCACATGAGCGACTTAACAGTATACCTGAAATCTCTAGAACAAAAAGAAGCAAACTCACCCAGGAAGAATGGATGGCAAGAAATAATCAAACTCAGTATTGAAATCAATAAAACTGAAACAGAATATAAGGAATCAATGAAATAAAGAGTTGGTTCTTTAAGGTAATCAACAAGAAGACAAAATCTTATCCAAACTAACC